TTTTTTTTTTTTTTTGTATTCCCTGGACAGTGCCCAGTACAGTGCTCTGCACATAGTAGGTGCTCAATAAATGTTGACTGACTGAACAGCCAGAGTGTGGTTAAATGATATCTAATAAGCTAAGTTACCCATCTATAACTTCATTAACTTTGTTTTACTCTTGAAAGCTGGTTTTATGTGGCTATATTTTCAAAACATAAGTGCAGTTGTATGTGTGTAAGATTTATCTTTGTTTGTTTTTGCTTTTTAAGAAATGCAAACAGATCGCACAAAGTAAGGAAGATGATGACGTAATAGTGAATAAGCCTCATGTTTCGGATGAAGAGGAAGAAGAACCTCCTTTTTATCATCATCCCTTTAAACTCAGTGAACCCAAACCCATTTTTTTCAATCTCAATGTGAGTATTAGAGTTTATGGATTCATGAAACAACATAATTTTAAGGAAAATTCAAATTCTTAAATTCTTCAGTTTACTTAGTTTAAAAACTCCATTCCCTTCAGAATATGTTGAAAATCAACTGAGAACATTTTAATATAGATATTTGTTATACAGAGTTATAATTTAAATAATCTCCATTTTTTTAGATTGCAGCTGCAGCAAAGCCAACTCCACCCAAAAGCCAGGTAACATTAACAAAAGAATTTCCTGTATCATCTGGATCTCAGCACCGAAAAAAAGAAGCTGATAGTGTTTATGGAGAGTGGGTTCCTGTAGAGAAAAACGGCGAAGAAAACAAAGATGAAGATGACAATGTTTTCAGCAGCACTTTGCCCTCTGAGGTAAGTAAAGGAATAAAATGTGGTTTGTTTTTTTCCCTTATTTACCTGAATCTGCCATTTTATTGTTATTTTATATCTGATTTGGATTCTGTTTCACTCTTCTTAGGGCCGGGTTAAACGGCAGGGCCGGGTTAGACGACAGCTGAAACAACCCGCAGCTTCTCATTTGACAGTAACTCGATGCAATTCACTTTGTGGAACCAAGCCACAAAGTGAAAAGCATCGAATTGCAGAGAACAGTGTTATCACATCCCTACCCAACATTGGCCCCTCTATGCACTTGTGGGAAGGTAGCCCAAGGTACAACTATTTAGCTTCTCGTTTTGCTTCGAGGCTCTATAGCTCTAGATTTTGGTGGTAGCAAAATTTTGGGTGGAGGCATTAAGCAGAGCGGGGCAGATCCTCAGGTTCAACACAAGAACTGGATTGGAAAAGGTCACCAATATGAGCTTATTGGGTACATCGCCCATTCCCGTTATATAGTGGTTTATTACTATTTCTCCAGGTTGTTGTCAAATAGCCTTTAAATTTAATAATTTTTCCTTCCCTGTACCACCTTGGTCCTAATGAATTCTTGTGTTTAACCTAATGCTCAGCCTTGGAACTCCATTCCCTTCTCCTTTTCCTCTTTGCTACTATTAAAAGTTGGAGAAGTGGAAGTCAAACCTTGAAATTTACATGAGGCTATAGTTGTATCTTGTCAGAATGACACAGTGATAATGCCAAGTGTCAAATTAACCCCATTAAAATGCCGCCTGATTAAATAATGTGCTGCTAAATATAATGCACATGAAAACAGCAAGACTGTATATATATGTAAATATATATATATATATCTGTATCTTTGTATGTATCTCTGTATCTGTACCTTTGCTGTATCTTTTAATAAACAGTTTACTTTTATTTAACTTGTTGTGCAAAATCACGCTTGGGGGATCTGGGAGGGTGGAGACTTTAATAGGGGGGTGGGAGTTTTAAAAGATACCATAAACTAGTTGTCATCACCTTTACTTCCATTTGCTGTTGGTATCCAAAGACCAGACATTGTGCAAGGACTCTCTATGCTAGATATCTGGTGCCCTTAAAATAAGTGGCTTTCCCCCGCTGCCATTTATTGCAGTTCTGGGGTATGTAGGTCAGAGAGACCTGTACTCTCTACTCTTCACCTTCAGGTTCCCTTCACTGACCATATCATCTTCCACTACTCACCTTCAATACTACAAACAAATCGTATTTATAAAATCAGAAAGTGAACAGAACCCAAATCAGAAACTTGGTGGTAGCAGTATTTTTTACCCCTGAGCTATTCACAGGCGACATTTTCACTGTGTTTTTTTTGACCTGCGGCATTTTGAAAGGGAACAGATTCTGTACAATGAATTAAGTGGGACATGATAACTTGACAAGGCAACTTAACAGTCACAGGTGATGATCTGTATTCTCATGGAGTTTCACAAGTAAAGTTTACCTTCACCAGTAAAGGAAAGCAATACGTAGACAATATTTTATGAAACCAGTTCAATTGCTAATCTTCAAGGGTACCTGCACATCTCAGGAGGGGGAAAGGTTGACATTTGCAACTGAATCATGTAATAGCCGAATACGAACTATGATAAAAAGGGATGAATAGACTTAGAAATCCTGATACATATGCTTTCAGTCATTAATTTCACGCATAAAAAGCATTTATCAAAGGGAAAATGGGTATTAAAAATTTTTTTGCAATGGTGTGAAGACCTTTGAATAGTATTACAAATTTGTTGCGAAGATAGGTGAAGATAATTTTAAACTTTGTTCAGTTGAACGCGGGTAACAGGTTAAATGCTTAATGGATCCTCATAATTAAGTTGGAATTTGATAAGCAGCCAATTTGAATTTTTACACTGATAATGTGTTGTCCATTGTCTTATTAAACATGAATGTCAGGTTTTAGGTTGGAAAGATTTTTCTGGGGCAAAGGATTGAAAAAAAGGGGTGGTGGTAATGAAAATTTTTTAAGTAAAGGGGTTTTTAATGAAAGATTTATAAGCAGATGTAACTATTTGACAACAGGGCTCATGTTTAAGCTAGATTAGATTAAAAGGTTATGTATACATATATAGGTTAACAATGTTAAAAGAATCTCAAAAGTTTAGAGGGAAAAGGCAGAATTGTTTTGCTTTCATTTCTCTACTTAGTCACAAATAAAAGAAATGCACACAATGTAATACGTTTTACTTCGTAGACCAATGGTGGTGCAGTACTAGTGACATTTTATGGTAGCATGGAGTATGGACCTCTTGAGTTTCTTGGGGCTTGTAATAAAGACTTTCTAGACTGAAAGAAAAGTTCTTTTTGATGGTCAGTTTTTAAATGGAGTAGCCTTTATGTTTTTATTCTATTTTCATTTTAATAAATATTAAGTCATTTGTGGGTCTTTAATTCTGAGCATAAAACATTTAAGTGATGAGCATAGATTTGATCTCCATTAAAACATTACAACTGAACTAGCTTTGTTGAAAATCCAAATGTGAACTGCATCCTTAACCCCACCATTTGTCTGGTAACGAGTGCCTTTTGGCATAAGTATGAGTAGACAAAAATTGTGGATGGATCAGCATAAATCCATAACTTTATGGAAAAACAACGCATCAGGCTGTGGTGCTCTACCACCATAGCATCACTTTCCTACCCAGAATCCAGTCAGCAGCAACCTCAGTAAGAGTGACTACAGGACTTTGACTATATTGGTGTGAATAAGATTAATGAATAACAAACATTAGAAAGCTAGCATTAAAAATAAAAACAAAATTCTTACGTGCATTCATTCTCAGTACAGAAGTAATAAAGGTTAGTGAAGGCATAACTGGGTACAAGATCTAACATGGCATTTCCGTGGGTTTACCTAGTCATGTTTAAGGGGTCCAAAGATATAATGCCTTTAAGGTCTTAGTGATTGCTTACATGTTATAATCAATACACAAGCAGTGAGCTTGGTTTCTATTATCGATATATATTACATAGCTCAATGGTGCTAAAATTCTTTTATTACAGAGTTTAGGAAAACGAACATTTGGGGGTGAGATGGAAATTTTAACTGGAATGATACACAGCTCCTGGAGTGCTAGAATTTGCTATGTGTATGACCCTGCTACCAGTCTTTAGATTTTTCTAGGTGGTTAAAAATGAACCTGAATTTATTTGAACCATTAGATGGTTACTGTCCATTTGTAATTCATTTAGCGCAAAATCTTTTTAAGTTAACCAAGAGCTACACTAGAGAATTTTATATAACATGATTCAAAATTCACTTTAAAACCATGTCGATTGACAGACTATATCATGATTTTCGTTTCTGTGGTTTTGTCATTTTGTTTAAAACTATGTGAACTTTTTTGGTAAATACTTGCAAATCATGTTTTATAACCAGTCTAGGTGATGATCTTTAGTTGTTTTCTTATTAAGTTTTTCCTTTTTTTGCCATTTGCAATAAATAGCTTTATTAAACACAATTTATTTCGGAGATTCCTTATCTCACCGTCACTGAATAATTCGCTTTTTTTTATATCCTTTTTCTCACCTAAGAAATACTAATTAAGATAATTTGTTGTGCTTTGGTAAAGAGTTGGGTTGACAAGTCAAACTATAGATATAAAGGGACACTTAAATAATTTAGGTCATGTCATATACATATCATTACACAGTACATCCTAGTAGTCTCAAACTATGGCCCGGGGGCCACATGCAGCCCACCGAGGACATTTATCTGGCCCGCCAGGTGTTGTTTGTTTTTTTACTTCAAAATAAGATGTGCAGTGTGCATAGGAATTTGTTCATAGTTGTTTTTGTTTTTTTAAACTATAGTCCGGCCCTCTTAACAGGTCTGAGGGACAGTGAGCTGGCCCCCTGTTTAAAAAGTTTGAGGTCCCCTGATCGAAGTAGTAGTAATCTGCTTTGTTCCTCAGATACTTGGGGCAAGTTTTTAGTCCTTTTTGCCATAATTCAATAAGATCTCGTGTTGATTTCACAATTTTGAACAAGTCCTAGGGAAAAACAATCCTTAATTAGAATACCGAGAATTACTATACAATTATAATTATAGTTTATAGATTGAATATGAAGCTCTAAGAGTGTATGGAAACATGATTTATTCATAAAACATGATGCTAATGCTCTTGGTTTTAAGATTCCCTCTTCCCAGTTTTTTTAAAGACTCGGTACATTTCCCATGTTTCTAAGTAACATTAAAAGATGTCGAGGTCTAAATCAGTTCAGCAACAGTACTCCAAAACCACGTGACTATTAAAATGAGAAAATAGAGTTCCCGAGTCTCACTCACTACATCTCAATAGCAATTAATAAAGTTCATGGGATAGCACTGCTCTGTGAACGGTAGCTTGTTTATGTTTTACTACTGTTAATGAAAAAAAACTTAGAACATTATATCTTTTGGGATTATGACTGGGTTTTGTGCAGTATTACACACTCCGAAGCTAGGACAGACTTTTTGATGTAAACTTTTGAGCATCTTTCAGAGCTAATAGTGTATTTTGAATATATTTTCTCACATTTAAAATATGAATATAAAGTTAATGGTCAAATTATTATTTGGTAGTAAAGTTATAACATGAACTTGTACATCATCTGAAAAGTTAGCTAATTTAATATCCAAGGTGTTGCATCACCTTGGAAAAACGTATCAAAATTCATACTAAATGTTAGTATAAAAATTTGCCAATAAAGTTTTTAATAAACATGTTAAGGAACTATCCTGGGAATAAACATTTAGATTAATGACTTAAACATTAAAAGAAAAATAGGTACGTTTAAAAAGGTTTTAGATGGCAGGAGGGGACAGGTGCAGAGAGGGCGAGCGGCCAAAAAAAAGGTTTTAGATGGTATAGTCACAAATATATCCACTACTTTTCAAATGTTAAAGGATGTACTATTGTAGAACTGTGAGTTTTGAGAGTCATCAAAATAGATTATTATTAAAGCTTTTTAAATGTAAGATTAGGGTCGGCTGGTAGATGGGACACCGTTATCATCAGAATTTCCTCAGGTTATACGTTTTCTTGGGTAATTATACCCAAGCACGCTAGCCCAGGGTGTAATGGTCAGCAGTTCTAACCAGCAGCTCTGTTTAAGAAAGACAGCTTTCTAATTAAGTCAACAGTTACAGCCTTAGAAACCCACAGAGGTTGCTATGAGCCAGCAGTGACTCAATGGTAGTGAGTTTATTTTTCCAGTTATGAAAACAATTCTGGCAAAGTTAATGAAACATCACTTGAGATTTACTTAAGGCACATTCAAAAATTCTCCCTGATAATTTTAGGAAACATCTAATATAGGCTAAGGGAACATACGTTCCAGCGTGAAATACCTGGAGATGCATATAAAGCTCTGGAAGTAGAGCAGATAACAAAGTGAAATGTAAAGTGAACACTAATTTCTTAGTCTTTCTAGCTGACTGTGTAGATGACCTATTTGTCGTGGTTCCTATAAAGGTTTATATGGACAGTATAGCATTTACAAGTTGACTTAAAATGATCTTTCAAGAAGTATGTATACAGTCTTGCAATTACAGAATTTGTGCCTTTGCCTTTCATTTTTAGATGGCCACATGAAAATATATTTTTTGTGGAAGAAAATTGATTTAGCTCAAGTTGGCAAGATACAAAGAATGACAAACTCTCAAAGGGTTTTTGAAAGTAAAGAATGGAAGATCAGTGAATCCTTAGGCCATGACTATTACAGGTTTCGCTATAGTTCCAAACACAACACATACAGCTCGCTTAACAAAAAACAATAAAAGCTGCATTAACCATTATATCTTATGTAGTACTGAGGGACATTACGAGTCAAAATTGACTCCATACCCCTATGATTTGGTTGATTTCTTTGCAATACCTACTAATTCTTTGTAGATGAAAACAACTCTGCATGCCCAGTAGCATTTTCCAAAATAACCTTTAGATGAAATTATGAAGTGGTATTTAGATGCAATAATAATCAGAAGGAAAAACGCTGGCCTTGGTGGTGCTGTAGCAAGTTCTTGATAGGTATTTCCTCTGGTTGAGCTTTTTACACACCAAAGTGGGAATTTACGCCCAGTTTTACTTTGAAGAAAACATTGTAAAAGTTAAACAATTGCTTGCTTTTAGCATAAATGTATTAGGTGTGTGTGCTTTGAAAAGACCGAAGACACAACAAACATTTTATTTAATTGATGGTATTCCATAATATAAAGTAATCTAACTTTAGTCATACAGGTATAGAAATTTTAAAAAATCATTTGGTTTATTGCAACTGTTGGGGAAAATTGGTTTCTTAAGATTTAATTTCTACAGACTACAAGGTGAAAATATGTTCTGCTGAGTAAATATAAAAGCCTGTACGTGATAATGGATTTCCACTTGTTTGTTTAAACTTTACTTCTGCTTCTGAAGGCAATGGTAATAAAGTTCTTACAGGATCATTCTTAGGATTTTAGCTTGATATGGTAGAAAATCTGAAATCAGACTTTGGATTGGGTTGTGTTGCTTCTGAGACAGTAACTAAGCTTAGCCAGTTTTATAAGTTTTCTGAGGTTATTCTAACTTTCTGAATCTTCTGCTTACAAGATGCTAATAATTAAGACTGCTGTTTTGCATTTGACATGTAGCAACTAAAGATAGTAGGAGCATATTCAGAATTTAGGGGGGAGCATATTCAGAATTTGGGGGGACTGTGGTAATTTAAGATAATTATCTGTTTTTCTCCTTAGCCTGTGGACATCTCTACAGCAATGACTGAGCGAGCACTTGCTCAGAAAAGACTCAGTGAGAATGCATTTGACCTTGAAGCCATGAGCATGTTAAATCGAGCCCAGGAACGGGTATGTAGCAATTTTCCATGTCTGAATGAGACTTTTTACAGATGGTTGAGTTGTGACATGTGTGCCACAAAGTTAAACTGTAGAGCTTTAGCTAGAAAATCATTTAATTAGCTGGTTGATGTTAAATGAATGCTTTAAGGTATGATCATTTCTTAAACTTATTTGGTCTACTACCTCTTTCTGAGAAAACAAAATTACTCATAATTTTCTTGCAGTTAAACTTAAATGTTGTAGCTCCATAGCCCAGGAAAAAGTATTTAAGTATCTGTTTTGCAGTCCCCATCTTGGCCCACATCATTCCAGCTCCCCCTAGGAGGCGATATTGTCCAATTTGGGAAACTAATTTAGTGCATGTTTATAAGAGAAATAGAAAAAAATTCTCTGCTCTCTGCTTACAATAGATACATTAATAAAATAGCACATGTAGGAAATAGAATGGAAAGATAATAAAAAATTTCCTTGATTTTTTTTTTTTTTTTTTTTTGGATTCCTTTTGTAGTAACTCAAATGTTCACAGTAACCCTTTCTGGTATATGTACTACTAGCAGCTCAGCTTTCCAGCGGAAGAAACTGAGGTAGAGTGGTGAAGTAATGTCCAAAGGTCATGCAACTAATAGGAGGGTAATGTGGTCTTCAAATCTAGGCATTTTGAATCCAGAGTCTATGCATCATGTCCACTGCCCTCTACCTTTCTACAGATCTATATACAAACACTTAAGAACGGGTCAGTCCAAGTGAAAATAATGCCTAACATACCTGATGGTCAGTAAAATAGTATGAATTCTTTCCTCAATTGATTATTTACTCATCATAATAAATGCTGGATATTCAGTGGACAGTATCCTGTATTTATTACTTTTAAGCTTTGAGTTTAATTAGCAATACCCTGATGATCATGGTGTTTAATGAATTGCATTTTTGTGATATAAGAATAGGTGGGATGCCTTCACAAAAATAGCTTTCTTTTCCACACTACAAGTGTTTCCTTTGAGTACATTTCTCTTGAAGAAAGATTATCATAGCTATGCCTCTTATTTGTTAAACATCTCAAATCTTATTAATGGAGTTACTCAAACATTGGAAGGTTTAGGAAAATGTCTCATTTTTAATGAGCATAAATCCAATATATTGTTTTAAAAGTTGACTAATGTTAAATATTTCTTAGGAACTAAATTTCGCGTAATTATTTGTTCTTACCAGTGGCACGTTAACAAGGTTTTACCTAATTGAAGCCTCTTATTTCTTCAGATTGATGCCTGGGCTCAGCTGAACTCTATTCCTGGCCAGTTCACAGGAAGTACAGGAGTACAGGTTCTGACACAAGAACAATTGGCAAATACTGGTGCCCAAGCCTGGATTAAAAAGGTATACAATATATACACATAGAAAAATGTTGAAGTGCAAAGTTATTTAAGGAAATGTTTTATTTAAAATGCATGAAGAACCCAATAACGCTAACCACAGTTCATTAGTAAATTTGTTGTGTGTATATGCTCCAGGATGGACACTGAAGAAAGATCTGCTTCATGAGACAATGGCAAATGTATACATATGGCCCCAAAGCCACTCACTTTATATCTTAGGCTACTTTTATTGCTGCTGCTGGTGGTTTGAGTAGTAGTTGTTGTTTTTTTTTTTGGCCCTTTTTTTAAAAACTGTATTTTTAATGCCAACAGTATGTCAGGTGCTGTTCAGAATTTTCTAGTTCCTATTGGGCTACTAATCTAATAATTTCAAAGCAGTGGTTCTCAAATTTTTCCTCAAGGGACGCTGTATTACAGGTTTATTTTTGGTGGATCACTGTCCCCAAGAGCCTTGCACCAGCCTGCTTTCCCATTCCTCTCTTCCACTGCCCTTATCCCACCCCACCCTCCCTCTCCTTAGTGCCTGTGCCCCATCTTACAATCCTTGTTCCACACCCTTCTTGTCACTTCTAGCCTAGGTCCCTTTGGTTGTCAGCCTTTGGTTACTGCAAGTAGTTGGGAGGTCCTAATGTTAGCATTGCATGTGGCGATCTTGCCATGGGATTGGAAGGCTGCGGGAGGATGACTTTAGTGTGGGGTGGGCAGTGCTAAAGGGTGGGGATGGTGAAGGCGGTGGGTTTGGAATGTACAATGTGATCTGTGGACCACCATTAAGGCCCTGGTGGCCTCTGGTGATCCACAGGCCCAATTTGAGAACCACTGATTTCCTGAAGAAAAAAAAAAGAAAACACAGGACCTATAAGACCTAAAATCAAAGGAGAATGGATGCCTTGAACTGCGAAGATGTGGGTGCACCTGGTTTGAGATTCCTGCAATAAGACCTGTAACCTCCACCTATGGCTGCCTCATTGTTGGGGGAGTCCTAGGTGGCTATGAGGGGCTTTGTGAAGAAGTACGTTCTGGTGAAGGGATGGCTTGGTTGGGTGGGCCATGAGAAATTTGTTTCAGGAGTACTGGCAGCATAGCAGTGCTGAAACTGGGAGGCCACGAGGTCTAATGGATTGGGAAGGTTTCTTTATCCCGATGTATTCGACTCCTTGTATGACCGTGGGCAAGTAATTCTTTGGAATTTCAGAGGCTCCATGTTTTATGTGGACACAGTTTTTATTACTGCCTAACATAGACTCAAGTGCTAGTGAATAAACTTATTTATGAAAAATGAGGCACTGATTGCTTCAGATGTTTTGATCTCATAAGTTACTTTAATTTTGATAGATTAACAAAATAGCCTCACTTTGCCTGCCTTTCTTTTTAAATAGTTACACGTATGTGCATAATGAGTACATGGTCAGGCTCTAAAAACTTGTTGCTTTATATACTTGGGATTAGTTTGGGAAAAGGATGAGAACCTAACACTTGGATTCATATTGGACTAATTTATATTACAGTACTTTAAAGAGTAAAAAATGCTTTTTGTATATTAAAGATGACAATCTTAGTGGGAAGAAATATACTTGCACATCTGTTTCTTTAACAGCTTTAATAACTTGTTCTAGGGACTGAATTTAGTATTTTAGGAAATTAGACTTGAGATTAGCCCTTAGACACACAGTAATGAGTAACTAAGAGTTACTGCTTCTGGAGAAACTTCTGAATGTTTCTATTTCCAAATAGTGGTAAAGTGCTTATCCATATTGCTTGTGCTTCTAAATAGCATAATATTAAGTAAGTTACTTTGAAAGGTGAACTTAACAATAGATTCAGTTGATTTTCTGCTAACCTCCCTTTAAAATTTCATCTAGTACTTTTAGAGTTGTACACAGTTCTTACATTTTAAATGAAATTTAAAATGTTAATTCAAGTGTAGAAGACAAAATTTTGTCTTTACATTATATATCCTAAATACCAAACTATTTTGATAAATTGGCATGATAGAAAGGTATGTTTTGGCAGACTAAAATTTAAATTTTAGAAGAAAGCAATGCTTCCAATAAAGTGTTCTTTCGTATAGACTTAGTGAAAAATATTTGTAGCTAATTTAAGGGAGAAACATACATAAAAATAAGCTAAACATTCATAAAAGTCTTTATTTACACAACTAAAAACAAAATGTACCTCTACCATCAAATACTGTCTGCTCCTTAAATATTGAGGTACATTCCAAAAGCTGATTCGAATGATGGTTTGGCATTTCTGCCTTAATATAGTTAAAACGTGTCCTTTCTATATGTTAGAAACGGAATGAGAAAAATTCCTGTTTCCTGTTTTTTTAATGTAGCATATTTTATTAAACATTCTCCATCAGTAAAACTGTAACTTGATAAATGTTTACTAATGTGGTTTCATTGGATTTCTCAGCATTTTAAAAAACCATACTCATTGGGGTAAAGAAAGATAAAAAGAATGCAAAGCAAAATTGGAAATCTGGGTTATTTGTGGGTTTGTATTGTATTCTGCACAGTTGCCCTTTTTTTTAGGAGTGTTTCCTGGAAAAGAGGGGCGGATGAACCTGGAAGTAAGTAAAAATCATTCTAGGTGTGTAGCATCAAGGCAGTTGATATTCAAGCATCAGCTAACTTTTCTCTTTATACATCTACACTGCATGGCCTGCACCAATGAAAGGAACTGAACCAGGGGTATGTTTCTACCTCCACAGCTGCCTCCTTCCATCAGAGCACCTTGTTGAACTTAATGTCTAGTCATACATCATTGGCATGTTTTATCCCTAGCAATTAATTAGAAAGCTGGGAAAAAATATGATTACACAGTTTTGCTGTGTAAAATAAGACTTTTAATATTTAGCATTAACTTATCAATTCAGGAAATGATAATGTGTACTAGCCCCAGTTACTAAGTTTTGGCTCCCCTGTTGATAAGTTAATGCTGGAGAATAAATCTGATATTTAAACACAAGGGGAATTAAAGCATGATTTGGAGATGTTGTTATTCCTTAAGTAATCATCAAGATTAACAGAATTTAATACTATTTTATGTACACAAAATGCCCTTTTAAAAAGGCATCAAGTATTTGAACATGAATTTAAACTAACTGATCATGCTAATGTTTATAGTTATGTATCTTGTGACATTAAGCGGTTTGCTGCTTTGATGGAAATTATGGTTCAGTGGGTTGGATACGAGAGATGACTGTTCACAGAATAACCTGTGAACTTTCACCCCTCTATATGGAAACTTGTTTCAGGGCCAAATCCTTGTAGCTGTCTTCTTGCCCCGGTCAGTGCCAGCCCTACTATTCACAACACTGCTGCTACCGAGGCCTAGGTATGTAAACGTTTAAGGAGTTTTTAAAAGTCTTTTAACATCAAGTTAGGTTTTAAAAGAATTCAAACTCAGTTTGGTATATTTACAGGGTGGTATCTTCTCTGGTTTTCTTATAATTTATTGACTGGGCATATTTGTATCAGATAAATTTATTTTTAAGAGTTACTTTTTTGCTTCAAAGGAATTTTCTGTGTGAAATATTTACACTTGCTTTATGGTAGAATGAGGAAGGAAACTTTGGAAGACAACAGTATGCTTCTTCAGTGTCCAAACTATTTGAGTGATTTCTGGGCTTTATTTATTAACAAGGTACACCTGGGACAATTATTGAATGTTTTAACATTGCCTTCTTTTTATTTTGCAAGCTAAGAAGAAATACCAGTGAACCTAAAATAGTGGACGGAACAGGAGTGTTCTAATTTTTTTTTTTTTTTTGGAGGGGGACTTAAGAGCCACTGTACTGCCATTTACTTGCCTTAACTAATTTTCAAATACAACATTATGTTAATGTAAAATATGCAAATTAAACTATGTAAGTATAGAAACATTTAAAATTAAAACTGTAACAACTAGAAATAAAATAAGGTTTCTCTCTTTTAGAAAGTTACCACTGAGTTTACAATCAATTTCTAACTGTACAATGGGGACATTTTACCTTTCTTTCTTTGGATAGGATCAGTTCTTAAGAGCAGCCCCAGTAACTGGAGGAATGGGAGCCGTTTTGATGAGAAAAATGGGCTGGAGAGAAGGAGAAGGATTAGGAAAAAACAAAGAAGGCAATAAAGAACCTATTCTGGTTGATTTTAAGACTGATAGGAAAGGTAAGTTATTTTGGAGTGTTTATTATGTAATCTTTAGTAATTAAAATTTTATTACCTTTGTGCATTGTTTTGATCACATTGACACCTAGATTTAGTACTAGTCTATATAATGCTTTTTGTCAAAACCTTTTAAACCTATTTTCCATATAAAGCATCTAATGTCAATAAATGTAGTTGGAGACAAATTGAGCTTTTAAAAGGCAACTTTTGTCAGTGATATTTACTAACTAAGGAGAATAGGCATAATGTACTTTTATTATTATAATTATAACTAGGTTTTTTGTTTTGATGGAGGCCATATACTTGTTTTTATTAATAGGGCTTTTCCCCCTCAAATTTTCTTTTTAATCTGCCTTTTCCTGTTCAATCTGCCTCCATTGTCACTCTGGACCTTTTGGTAGATCTTTCCTGGTCAGTAGTTGAGCTCTAAAGAGCCTTGGTTGGTATAGTGGCTTGTGTGTTGGCCTACTAACTGCAAGGTCAGCATTTTGATTCCACAAGTAACTCCAATGAAGAAAGAAGAGGGTCTTTGCTCATAAGATTTATAGTATATAACCTCGGGGAGCCCACAGGGACAGTTCTACCTTGCCCTGTAAGGGTCTTCTGTGAATCAGAAATGACTCGAAGGCAGTGTGTTGAGTTGAACTAGAGTAGGCTTGAATGACCGACCAGTAAAGCAGTGTTCTCTCTTCATATGGCCAAAGAGTTTGAACTTGTATCAGAGTACTTTGGAACTTTAACTGTTGCATATATTTTGCTACTGTCTTCTGAAGCCATGGTTGTGTAGTGGGGTTTAAGCATTGGACTGCTAATGGTGGTTGAACCTGCTAGCTGTTGGAATCCACCAGCTGTCATCTGGGAGAAAGATGAAGCCCGTTTGCTTCTGAATAGGTTTATGGCTTTGGAAAGCTGAAGTTCTTTTCGGTCCTATAGGGTCGCTATGAGTTGGAAGCCATTTGGTGCCCGTGGCTAGTCAGAGCTTGTAATACAGTGGTTGTTTTAAATATATTCTTAACACCTAACTAATTATATTTTAAACCATTCTTCCCCTGAAATAAAGTTCAAAGTAGAAGCACACAACTTTTTTAATTAGCTTGAACCTGATTTTTAAAACTGGAATTTTAAATTATCTTCTTGTTATCATAGAAAATTATTGATCTTAATGCAATTGATGTCTGAATTTGTGCTATGGTTCTGCAACAAATTATTTTTAATATATTTTGTTATCACTTAGAACACGATCATATGTCATCTACTTATACTACTATATTGCCATTTAAGTACAAATTATAAGGCGTTTAATGTTATCGGGTACATTCAGTGATAGGCTACAGTAAACACAATTATTCTATAGTACATTAAGAATTGATCACTTTGATTAAAATAAAAGGACTTTTAACTTGTATTACTTGTGCCATATTGAAATCATGTTACTTAAACAAAAACTAAATAGTGAACTAGGTCATTCCAATGAGAGAATACTATCGGAAGGAAAGAACTAGAGATATTTTGCATTATTCCAAGGTATGGTCTTGAAATTGTGCACCACGGAGTGCTCAAAAATTCCCATAGAATAGCACACTGGGAAAACATTATCAGTGTGGTCTTAGCAGAGGAGTGTGGGAAACTTCTTGTACATGGGTGCTAGGAAAAAGCAGTTTAGCATAGTATTACAGGGAATTTATTCTACTTGGTAATGTAATAAATCTATGGGAAAGGGAACTTATGCTAAGAGGTTATGTTTCTTTCTTGAGAACAGCTCTTACTAAGCCAGAAAGCATGTTTGCTGGGGAATAATGATCAAAATTGTCATAAGCAGTAGCCATTTACATGTTTTTCTTTTTTGAACATTTTGTCATTACCACTGAGCAACATTTATTTATTTATTTTGGGGGCAGGGTAAGAAACTTAGAAATCATTGCAATAGCCACTGTCTTTTAAACTGAGAAAAAGACCTAGAGGAGTTGGTTATTATGGCATCTAATTTGTTTCTTATATATTCTTGGTCAAATTGTTGTATTTGCTAATATTTTTGTTTAATAACATAGATTTATGAGGGGGGTTCAAAAACTTTGTGGGAGAAGTACATCTATCCATTACATTTTCCCACAAACTTTTTAAACTCAGCAAACTCTGAATTTGGTGTAATAAGGTGTAATTCACATCAGGACATTTTGTTCAGTGATCGCTTGTTTGTTTGTTTTTCTGTAAAGGTCTTGTTGCGGTAGGAGAAAGAGCGCAAAAGAGATCTGGGAACTTTTCTGCTGCAATGAAGGATCTGTCAGGTGAGGGTACGCTATGAAATTTCTTCTTACCCCTACTATTTTGAATTCATAATTTGTTGTAAAAGGTGTGGGGAATTTCTAATTGGCTTTTTTTCCCCCCTACACAGGCAAACATCCAGTCTCTGCCTTGATGGAAATCTGTAATAAGAGAAGGTGGCAGCCACCTGAATTTCTCTTGGTCCATGACAGTGGCCCTGACCATCGCAAACATTTTCTCTTTAGGGTAAATATAAATTTCATTCATTTGACTCAATGTTAATGGATAAAGGGGTAATCATTACATGGTCAGAGGTTAATTCCATGATAGTGAGTTGGGGGATGTTTGAGGGGGCATCAAAAAGTTTTGTGGAAAAATTGGTTTGTTATTTTTTCCGTGAATTATTCCTATATGTGAAGTGGGTAGAGTGGTGGCATTTCTCAACAATGAAGGGTATTTTCAATGTGATCTTTAGTGGAGGGGAGAGATTTGGGCAGACCAAACCTGGTAAATTTCACTTTGATACTTTTTAGTGGAATCATGGGCACTGATGTACATTTATCAGGAATTCATTTTTCCATTTGAGACCTGCTCCTAATTTGCAGTCCCTTTCCCCAAAATGCCTCCTAATGGGCTGAGATTAATCAGGATGGGTTTTATAGTTGTGTAATTTTTTTAGCATTTAGTATGAAAATACAAAGCTAATAGATATTAAAGTTTGATGCTGTTCTTATTGTATGTTTTTCTTGAATAGGTATTGAGAAATGGAAGCCCTTACCAGCCCAATTGTATGTTTTTCTTGAATAGGTATTGATAAATGGAAGCGCTTACCAGCCCAGCTTTGCCAGCCCTAATAAGAAGCATGCTAAAGCCACAGCAGCTACTGTGGTTCTTCAAGCAATGGGCCTTGTACCAAAGGACCTCATGGCTAATGCCACTTGCTTCAGGAGTGCCTCACGTAGATAGATTGAGGTTTTATATTAATCATTTCAGATAATTTTACTCTGCATCAAAATGTATTTCCTCAATGTTGTAAATATTTGGCAATTGAAGACATTGTGTAAAAAGCAATCTGTACAAACATCTGCAGGCTTTGATTTTTGTACCATGGAAATTGTATTTAACCATACAGGGTTTTGGTATGTTTATATTGTTTACCTTAGTGATGTATTTGTTTTAAGTGGCTAACATCCAAACAATTGATTGTTCGAAGGCATCAGTAATCTTCAGTGTGGAATGTTAAATAACGCTTTTATACTGTATTTTGTACTATGCTGTAACTCCCCTTCCTTATGGCTAGGCTGCTGTAACACTTGCCTGTAACCAGTGAAGGGCTGTGCACCTTGTACTATTTTCACAATGGGGTTCTGCTGGACAGATACTGGGCCAGTGTTATTGAGGTAATCAAGCAAGATCTGTTCCACAGGGCTAACGCCACCACCTCCCCTCAAAATTTTGTAGAGGTTATAAGAAGAATGGTATGTTGTGTGATCATCAGCACCAAGTCCTGTGTTCCTGTTAAAGCCACTTTGGGCTGTAAGAAGGGTGTGAAAATAAAGTCTGACTAGAATTCTGCGGAGGCCAAGTACCTTTTAGTATGGCACTGAGTTGTGATAATAGTTATACTTCGATGTGCATTTTGAATTTCAGCTACACCTAGGTATATTTAAAATAATTAAAATGCTGTAACCAACTTATCTAATAAAATCGGCACCCAGCCACTATTTTGTTGACTATGAAAAAGTTAAGTTCATGTTAATTTTTAGGGTCTGATAGACTATTTCATGTGTATTACAGTGGTATTCATATTCTATGTCTCTAAACTTTATTTTCAAAAGCTTAAGGCCCCAATACAAACTTCTCTGGAATAAATGTGGTGGTTTATTTTCTGAACTGTACAGCAAACACACATATACTTCTTCAAATACTGTTTATCATCTTAATGCCTTGATTTCTAATCACCTTTATTTAAGAAATTTTGAACTAAACAACCTGTGAAAATCACATTACTCCTTTACCAACTTTAAAATGGAGCATACATTCTTTGGGTTAATCACTAAAAAACCGATTCAAGATTCTTGAGTGGTGGAAGACCATAGGGGGTACAGGTCATGCTAATAAAATAGAACCTATAAAATCATTTGCTGAAGGTAAAAGTTAATATATAATACTGTATCCTGGCTCCGATGCCACTGGTCAGAAAGCCCATTAGATAACAATTCTTAAAATTTCTCATTTGTAAGAAAACACCTTTTGGTTATAACTCACTTTTAAGGATTTAGAATTTTTACTCGACTTCTCTGAGGTAGTTTTTAGTAGTTTTGGGTCACTGGTTGGATATATGAAAATTTTTTAAGAGATTAAAGAACTAGAAAACTTATAAGCAACATTTGAATGTTCCATTTAGCTTCCAAAATGAACTTTAAAGCCATTATCTTGAATTTCCTCCTTAGAAAGCCTTTTTTTTTTTTTTTTTTCCGTAATCTCCATTTTAGGCTTACTTTGGTGTTCAGGATCTCCAGTTATAAATGTAGTCATTCATTTCCACAAGCTGTAAGGATGATTTCCCCAGTAGTGGTATTTGACTTAGTTGTTCCAGAGTTTTTGGGTGCAACCCACAGTTGGCAAGTTCCTTATGAACAATATCCTGTGGGGATAACATATTCAAGTCAGCACACTGAGCTGTGAACAACTTAGTAATAAGCAGGGTGTTGTTCAGTATGCAACATTAAGAGCCATTCAAAGGGGCCAGCTGTTACCTAAGTTGATCTTTGGAAGCCCTTAGGGCAATGGTTCTCAACCTTTGTAATGCTGTGACCCTTCAATACAGTAACTCATGTTGTGGTGACCCCCAACCTTAAAATTACTTTTGCTGCTACTTCAACACTGAAATTTTGCTACTCTAACGCAGGGGGTGGATCCGATTCGATAGCACCCAACATACTTTTGTGACAAAATTATCTGGTGATCTCCCATAAAGGCTGGTCTGGGCCCTGAGGGACTCCACAAAAGCAAATAAGGGCAACACATCAGAAGCTGAAAAACTGATCGTGTCAGGTTTCTAAAATAACTTCTGTTTATTTTTACCAGTCCAACAAGCTGATGAAGCAACTACTTTAAAGGCCTTAATTGCAACGCTTCAAATGAAAACCCTTGTTTTACCCATATCAAATAGTTTGCTTTCAGACTTCATTCTCATAACCTTACATCATAGGAATCAGCACCTACGTGTCCAGAATGAGGACATGTAAATAAGAACCTTTCCTTTTGACCTGGGACACTTCAGTCACTGTTAATGAGTACAGGAGTCTAGATTACAAACCTCAAAAGCAAGTTAGACGTTAAGCCTCCCCCTTAAGTAATTTAATAATTGGTTAAAATGAAGGCCCACACTTTGGTAACTTAAGGTTCCACACTATAATTTTCTTTAACTTGAGTAACCTCAATTTTATTAAAGCAGCTAGAAATCTGTGCTGTAATTGTTTAACTCTGTATACTGACCTTATCCAGTACTTTATCCACTGGCGGGCTGCTATTAAATACAGCAGTTGGCTCGTGTGTGTACAGCCCTGCTGAAAAAGACCCGCTCTGCGAAGACTGGAGGAGCGTAAGCACAGAGTGCAGAGAGTGCGGCATCACCGGCCCCGTGATCTCCAAACTAAACTGCTCTCTGTAGCCAGAAGGGGCTTGTGTCTTCACGCTGACGCTTCGTGCCTTCATGAAAGAGAAAACGATCACTCACTCTCCTCAAGACAGTGCTGCCATCTCCTAATTCAATTGTCTTCAATACATTCCGAGTTTTCCTCAATATCAAGTAACAAGTAGTTTCTAGTACATGACTCAAAATGAGATTGGAAAATGGCAAAAAGCAAATGACCAATATATATCTGCCACCAATTAGCTGGCCAAGTAAAAATTAGTTTAATGCTAACCGAGAAACATGCACCAAGATGCTAGTAGATACTCTAAATCTGACTTCGAGGGAAAAAAAAGGTACTTTTCAAAAGGCAAGTTTATTATAGAACTTCCCCCCATTTTTATTACCTTAAGCATTTGCATTGTGGCACCTCTGAAAGCTACAGGGGATAACAGGGTTGGTGGAAGTCCTGCTTGTGGACCAGATGTGGCCACTAGACTCTTACAGTTGATCAAAAAATTGAGCAAGGTAAAAGTGTTGATTCCTTTCACCAATACAACAGACTCAGGCTTATGATCCATCTGCACTTCATGTTTTTCTTTCCGCCTGAGGATGACAATCAAGGAAATTGCAAATTTGAATTCTCACACCTGTGGCAAAAGCAGTTATCTTGAGTTGAATCACCATTTTCAAAAGGAAATATCCTTGCTACCCATTCTCTGCCACAACAGATAATGGGGACTTGTTGACAGCTGACCAAGATTATTATGTTTTTTTCTCATTAAAAAAAAAATATATCGTTCCGTTCCTTTATGAATTTAATCAACATGGAATGTTTTCACTTTAAAACATATTAGCTTAATAGTTGTCCAGTTTATTGGTACATTAGGCTTATTTAATGTCATGATGGAAAACTAAAATTAACATTATTTTTAGTTACAGTGTGATTAAGGTGGTAAGCTGCTCATAAAGATGATTCAATAACAACTGAAAGGATACAACTTGATAGAGAGTATGTCTGGCTTTTTAATTTTATCTTGCACACCCATCTCCTTCAGCCAGGAAAAAGTTTCCTCTTCATCCTCATCACTGATGGCTTGCTCCCTGAAAAATTGGTATTGTTAGGGTTCTCATACAGCTGTTATTGCTATAAAATGTTTTCAGTGACATCTACTTTAGTCACTGGATGATGTAAAATATTAATTGCATACTCTCCATGTCCCAAGCTTGTCCCAGATCTTTTCTTCTTATGGGCAGTTTCTTTTATTAAAGGCAGAGAAAAGTCAATACCTACAATAGGAAAAAAAGGGAAAAGTACTTAAATTTTAGTAATTCTCAAAATACTTTAACAGGCATGCTCTGTCACAGAATGCAATAGCTGAAGATGGCAATGGTTTTACAACTGATCTAAGGCAGTACAGTAGCTTTTGTTTCCTTCACAGTTGCCAACAAGAAATACATTAAATATACTCACTATATATAACTTTCATAAATTATATTTCAGTCCATTAAAAAAATAAGTGCTATTTGAGGCCACATAAATAATTTCATACTCTACTGGATCCTAACCCAGTCTGAAATCCTGTAAAGGGTGTAATTTGTAGGATAAAAGTGACTTTTCTTGGGCCTTATTTGAGAAAGAGCGGGGAACACTATTTTCTTAATGCTCTAGTTCAGTGACAAATCACTGCTGAAACAAAATCAGGAGAGACTTTCTTTTTTTTTACCTTCATTTTTCATAGCTTCTCTTAAACCTCTAGTTGTGGGGGAGATGAGAGCTGTGATGACATCACTTCCAGCAAACCCTGCTGCCCGGAATAGTACAGTGAACTGATAGGTACAAATGTAGAAATACGGGCAAAGCTTTGTTTTCAGCAGATTATATAGAGAAGTAAAGCTTACTGACCTACAAAACAAGAAACTTTCCATTAGGTGTTATTAAGCGTTTAACTCAGCATGCAAAGCAATAATACATTGCCTAATTTAATACACAGTCCAAAGATGACAGATCCTGGTTAGCATTGTGGTCAGATTCAACTTGACTTTTAAAGCTCTGAAACTGGTAATGAATGGGGACTGACCAGTGATTCCTAATTAGTGTCTGTCAATCACGCATGAACCAATTTTTAGAAAACAAAAATTGGTTGACGGTTGGCTTTCTCTGAGCCACTTCTGTTGATGAGGACAGAAGCAGACACTGACAGAACCTTACAGAATTGTTATATATAAAACACATGCTTCACGATTAAGAATGAAGTTTAGAAACGAAACAGCTTCAGTGCTGGCAATCAGCATTTTTTAGATAAAACAGTTCAGAAAGAGAGATCTTTATATCATCATGCATTTTATATGGTAAGTACAACTAAGAGAAAGTAGTTGGAGGGGGAGGGGCCGGGGGAGAGGGAAAAATGAACTGATACCAAGGGCTCAAGTAGAAAGCAAATGTTTTGAGAATGATGAGGGCAACAAATGTGCTTGACACAATGGCTGTATGTACGGATTGTGATAAGAGTTGTACGAGGCCCCAATACAATGATTTAACAACAACAACAAAAGCACACCTTGGGTGGGGAGGCCAGGAGTTAGAATTACAGTAAGAGGAGCTACTACTAAAACAGAAACCACTATTAAACTGCACAAGTGCTTTTATTAATCTTACCAGTCACTCATTAAAACGTGTTGCAGGGCATCATCATTTGACCATGGGCTTGTCTTTCCGGCCATTCTTCTATCTGCTCCAATTCGAGGGAACAGTGGCAGCCAGGGTAAAGAAGGGTGGAGCCAATAGACAAGACTCTGCTGGAAGGCACAGCGGAGCTCAGTGGAGAGCCTGGGGTCCTAAAGTCCAGGGAATGGTGGGCATTTTTTGCCCATAAGAAGCACAACATTCCGTTAGTGAGGCATTGAATATACGCATGCATTTAATCTAAGAACTGTTGCTACCTACAGAAAAGCATCCATAGCTTTTATGGGTCTAAAATGTATGTTTTCTTAGGAAAACCTTTTCCTGTCAGCCCTGACAATTTGTTACACAATTGTTATACCAGGGACACTTAAAATAGAAGATGGGCAAAACTTCCATCACTAACAATCTTGCAAACAACAAGCGCACGTGTGTTTCCGTGTAGCTAACACTACTTGCCCTCAAGCTGCTTGAAAAGCACACAGCGAAAGCGGACCAGGTGAATCACAAATCATCCTGATCTAGTCATTGGAAAAGATGTACCAATGCCCCTGGAGGCGTTCCTTTTAGCGGCATTCGAGAGGTGCTGTTTGAAGGAACGAAACAGCAGTTCATTCCACAACTCTCTAACAGGTGGCAGCAACGGTGCACTTGAAACCAGTACATGGCTTGGTTTAATGATTCCTGCCTTCGACAGTTCATAATTCTCAGTCCATTTTTAGCAAGAATTAGTACTGAGTTGGTCCGTTCATGAGCTGCTGAATATGGAAAAACAAACTCTGGATAGAAAGTATGATTTGAAAAGCTTTCCAAATCCATGTCTTTTTTTTTTTTAAATATGGAACGCTTCACGAATTTGCGTGTCATCCTTGCACAGGGGCCATGCTAATCTTCTCTGTATTGTTCCAATTTTAGTGTATGTGCTGCCGAAGCGAGCACCCAAATCCATGTCTTGTCCTAATTTTTGGACCGAGAAACAGCAGAAGGAAAAATCATTTACCCACTATTAAGACTGAAGAGTGTCATTTTATAGAGAAGCATTTTCACACTACATGCGTTATTTTAAAACAGTTATTTTATTTTAATTACCTGTATCCTCTGAGGTAAGGTAACTTCTGTTGCCCGGCAGTGCTGTACGAGACCTTGAGCCTCTTCGTGTGCTTTCAAATGATCTGCCCAGGCAAAGGGTTGAGAGGAGGTGAAAAGAAGTCTAGTTTTAATACTCCAGTCCACGGGTAATTTGGTGCTTTCTGAGGATGGAACATCCATTTCGGAGAAAGATCCTGCTGAACCCTTTCAGAAAACAGCACCAAAAACAATCAGTAGTGTCTCAAGAAAAATGTCAGCCACGATCATTGATGTTAAAACATGATTGTGTATCACCACCAAAAATATACCAGCGATGAAAAAAGTCTCAAAGGAGCCAGTAAACACGGAGGTCATCTCCACAAAGCCAGGTGCCTTTGTTGGTGGTTGATGACGCTGGAGGAAGGGCAGCTTTAACTTTTTGGTTCATACATTTTGATTTCATTTTAGCATTAGGCTATCTTCTAATCCCATTTTTCTGCAAACTTTTTGATGTTCCCTCATATTATATGATCATCAATTTAAAACATTAAAATCTCTTACTGTTGTCCAAGTGGAAATGAATGATCTAAGTGTTTAAAAAAGCATCAAGAACCAGGGTTAATCTGCTCCTGCAGGGAATGCTGCGAGAGACTATTTTTAAGAAACATTTTCTGACCTCAAAATCCAAACCACACCCCCCCATCTGTTTTGCATTTCTCACCGATCAATTCCTCAACATCAGTCTCTTTTAAAAGATATTGTAAAATGCCAAGGCCGAAGGGCTATTTTCGAGAGACCGTGCGTGATAAGGTGGTCATGTGTTTTTAAGTGCGGAGAACAGGTCTAGGGGAAGGATATCTGGTAGTTGTCCGACAATTAGGGCACGCTATTCATGTATGGCTCAAGTTATCACCATCATCAAAGTACCTAGGGAACAGAATCAAGAGTGTGGACGTGGAGAGATGGTGGTGGTAGACAGTGACGGTCAGTGCACCCCAACAAGCTTTGGGGGTGATGTGGGAATTTAATTTGAAGGTCTGGTGGAGGACTGCATTCAAAGAAAACTTGAGCCTACAGTGGCTGAATCTGAGGTGAGGTGAAGGAATCAGTGCTTAAGGAAGAGTGTAAGAACTGTTGGAAGCAGAGGAAAAGTCCCTTCTACGACTCTTGTATTGACTGGCATCATACACATTAATACACCACACCAAGTCCTTGATTTTGGCTGAAGCCATCTTTTTGATGCTGGGCAAATTTGCTACAAAAGACCCCTAGAATCTTTCAAAACAATGACATCACTTAGACGGCTAAGGAGCACTGGACTCTGCACTGCTTCCTGTGCACGTGAAAGCTGTACAGTGGAAAAGAAAACTGACACTGACAAATTATGGCAGTGGTAAAGATTAATGGATACACTCTGGCCTGCCCAAAGAATGAACACGTCTACCTTGGGGTCCGTACAGGCAGAATGCTGCTTAGAATGGAGGAGGGTGAGACTGTCATCAGGAGAGACCAATGCACCGATCCTGTCGTTCACCTCACCACGCTGTAGAGGGTGCAAGACCCCAGAGATGGCCTGAAACTGGTGTGACATCCAGGGGCACAGGACTGGGCAAGGTATCCTTCCGTTAGACAGGGAGTAAAGTACTTTCTCAGAGTTCTCTGTGAAAACTTTTCCAAACAAACTGCTTCCGAGCAGTACATGTTTACATCGTCAGAAAGTGCATTCTGATGATGTGACAGGTTTACCTTGGGTAATTCAGTAGTGGTTGTTCTTTCAGGAAACTTTTCCCATAGCAATTCATTTTCTTGATTAGAATCTAAAACCTAGATTAAAAACAAAAACCCTTTAAATGACAGTTTACTGTGAAAATGTACAGACCCTGCGCCAGTTCCTGAGTTCATAAACTCCTCAATCGGTCTATCAGCATTTTTACTTCAATTCTGTGTCTAACATTCAAAATTGAGAGGGAAAGGGGCATACACTTACTGATGGCATAAATCCCATATAAAAAGACCCATCAGGCTGAGGGATAAGAGAATTGCTAGGGAATTCTGAATGTTAGCGCGCCCCCCCCCAAAGTC